TTTCCCTGTGTGCCTCAGCCTCAGGCCACACAAAGTGGGGGGAAGGTTCTAACAGGCCCTCTCAGAGAATGACAGAGGCCTGGGCCACTTTAAGTTTAGAGGCCCCAAGCTCCTGACATATCTAACTTTTCATCCACAGGGTCATACCAAAACCAAAAGAATATATAGAAATGAACACTTGAGACAATTATTTATTAATCATTAAGTCATTATACCACTAGCACGTATATTAAAAATGTGAGTTTCCACTGCAAGCAAAACTCTTCATATTAGGAATTTTTTTTTGGCTTTGTTGTGTGCAAACTCATTTATAATTGAAGAAAAATCTAATTTATGTGCAACATCACTGTTAATGTTAAGCATTGCAAGCCCATTCAAACGATCTTGTCCCACTGCAGAATGATGAAAGCTCTTTACTTGTTTTAACATGTTGAAATGTGCATTCACCTGAAGCCACTTATGTAAGGAGACTGACAAAAATACATAATGCAATTGTGATATTAGGAAATATAGTCAACAGGCCAAGAAAGAATATTTCTTGAAACAGTTCTTTTGGCTTGCAGTCTGATTTAAAGCTGGTGGAATGTATACATTTCAGGAAGACAATCTCGTCACAGAGATCTTTTGAAATTTCATTGTTGTACCTTTGTTCAGCTGCTGAATATAGATCTTCATCACTTAGTTCTCTGAACTCCCAAAGGAATCCAAAAAGGGTACAGATTTCTCACAGTGACTCAAATCGATGTGTAAGACCAGATTTGATGGAGTCAATAACAACAACAACAACAACAACATTGACTCAATAGTGTCTTTCTGCATCAGATTGAGATGTTAGGCTGCATTTGGTGGAAAACTCAGATGAAATGTCAGTACCCTGTGCTACTGATTTGAACTCAGAAAGGATTGCGTCCCATTGATCATGAATCTTCTGAATATCTTTAAGAAGTCATTCAGTGTTATCTCTCTCAATATTTAATGTAGCATTGTGTGCTTCAATTTCAAGATTAGTTTCATAGATCATTTTTAGCAGCTTCATCCACATGGATGACATTAAAATGCATTCAAATTTGGACGTATACTTCTGAATTGATTTAAGCTCAGTGTGAGCCTGTGCTGTGAGAGTAAGAGATTCAAGCTCACTTCAAACCTTTCTCACAGAGTCCAAATGCTGTGCAACTAGTCTTAAACCATGAATTCGTGCTGATCATCTTGCTGTTGACATGCCGTGAAGGGAAACAAGCAGATGCTGCTTCAGAATTTCCCACTTTTGAGCACTGCTGCTGAAGAGGTTGTATAATTGCTGGATTGTTCCAACGTATGTGATTCAGCGCAATCTATCCCAACAAGATTTAGTGTGTGGTTGCCACAACTGGAGAAAATACAGTTTGGATGTTGCTCAAGAAGGATTGCTTGTCCTCCGTTATACTTCTCAGCCATATTAGATCCATTGTCATAGGCTTGGCCAATGAAGACTTGAAAATTTAATCAGAAGCCTTTCAGAATTTCTAATACATGAGCAGCAATTTCTTTTGCAGTTTTTTTGTGAAAGTATTGAACAAAATGAATTGTTCTTCAATTGAAACCTTTGAACTTCCTGAAGTTTTAACATACCAAACAACCAAGATCCTCTGTTCTTTATGAGAATAGTCTGGTGTTGAATCAATAATAATTGAAAAGTTCTTTGCATATCATATTGTCATATCTCTTCAAGAATTGTGGTTTGAACAAATGTCCCACATAGCTCAATAAACTCGTTTTGTATTTTGGTAGACAGATAATGGACTTGCATGTGTTTTCCACTCTCTTGTGTTTCACAAACATGCTTAACATAGTCTGATAAAAGTGGGTCATACTTGCTAAGAAGCTCAAGTATACCAAGGAAGTTTCCATTTGTAGGGTCACCCACGCCATATAAATACCTGAGAGGAATTAATTCCACTGTCAATGTTTCATCCTCACTAAGGCTATGTCTACACTGCCAGCTTTTCCCGGCAGAGAATATGCAAAGGAAGCACTGATTAGCATTTTGTCACACTTCATTTGCATAATCTAGGCAGGCCTTTTTAACAACTAGAAGTAAAAGTTTATTATCACAGAAAAGCCTTTAAAGGTGAATCTAAAACTGGATGAAGAGGTAGCTTACAGCTTAGCTTGATATGGTTATTGTATACAAAGTCACATAAGAAAAAACAGAACTATGAATATTTCCTATACAGAGATAAACATCTAATTTAAAAGTTACACTCACCCTCAGATCAAGCAAAATCACTTTACAGTAACAATTCATTACGACTTTCAAAATTTGAGGCCCCTTTATCTCCTGAGGCCCAGGCCAAATGGCCCTCCTGGCCCCCCTCTGATAGGGCCTGAGTTCTTCTGCGCCTTTCTCATTCTTCTGTACACAGAATGAGTAGATAAGCCAAGCTCAACTGATTCCTAATTATTTTTTTAGTTATGAAGCAGAGCCAAAATTACAGAGAGAAAGAAAAGGTGCCTCTGCAGTGTCAGAGCCCTGGTAGTGTTCCATGGAAGCTGTCTGAACACTGCTGCTCAACTTGATTTTTCATGTTTTGTCCTCAGATTGAACAAGTGAGTCAGCTTTCTGCTCTCGTACAAGCTCAGCTGAAATACCACAGACAGGCCACAGAGATTCTACAGCAAGTGACTGTCAAGTTGGAAGAGAGGTAACATTCACTTCTCATCAGACTCGGGAACGTATTCCTCTTCTGTACAAAGGCAGAAAATATGTGCTGGGTGTTCTCAACCAGGAGTCTGGGGCTGCAAGGAGGCTTATGGGAATCTGCCAAGCATGCCTTGCATTAGACTCATTAGGGCCCAGGGCAGAAAGCCAAAATCCCATCACACAGGACTGTAACTCAGGGCCCTGAGCCTTGGGCACACAGAGGTGAAGCTGAAGCCTAAGCAGCTTAGCTTTGTGGGGCGCTCGGTGATGTGAGGCCACAGGCTATTATCCTGCTTGCTATCACCTAACACTGGCCCTGCCCTTAATAGGCAAAAAAGTATTGTTGTGGCACTGCTGGGTCATGGAGTTCTTACAGCATGTTCAGGGAGGGGACGTTTCATAGTAAAGAGGTTGAGAATCGCTGTTTCAAGGTAGTTGCAAGGCTGGGTTCACATTGGCTGGAAACAGTAGCAGGTAAAGTTGTGCATTTTATTTAAGTGCTCCTGGCTAGGCCCCAATTCAGAGAAAAACTCTCCTGTTCAGTAAAGCAGTAAAACCATAGCACGCCCACATCTTGAATACTGAATACAGATGTGGTCACCTCATCTCAAGATGAATTGGCATTGCAAAAGGTTCAGAATAGGGCAACAAAAATGATGAGGGGTTTGGAACGGGTCCCGGATGAAGAGAGATTAAAAAGACTTGGACTTTTCAGTTTAGAAAAGAGGAGACTAAGGGGGGATATGATAGAGGTCTATGAAATCATGAGTGGTGTGGAAAAGTTATTTACTTGTTCCCATAACATAAGAACTAGGGGTCACCGAATAAAAATTAATAGGTTGCAGGTTTTAAACAAACAAAAGGAAACTTTTCTTCACACAGCGTACAGTCAACCTAGCGAACTCCTTGCCAGAGGAGGTTGTGAAGAACTGGACTTTAACAGAGTTCAAGAAAGAACTAGATACATTAATGGTTAGGTCCATCAATGTCTATTAGTCAGGATGGGAAGGAATGGTGTTTCTAGCCTCTGTCAGAGACTGGAAATGGGTGACAAGACAGGGATTGCTTGAAGATTCCCTGTTCTGTTTGTTGGCATTGGCTACCATTGGAAGACAGGATACTGGACTAGATGGACCCAGTCTGACCCAGTATGGCCGTTCGTATGTTCTATAAGAACATGCTTATATCCAGTTGAAGTGATGAGAGTTGTGCATGTGTTTAAGTGCTTTTCTGGATGGATGGATGGATGGATGGATGGATGGATGGATGGATGTAATCTCTCTGGAATCAGAGCCTTGATATGTATCAATTTTGCATTGGCTTTCTAAAAAAACAAATGGGTTGTAAATGATCCTTATTGATGAACAATATTTTTTTGTTTGGTTTCCCATCACCTTGCATGCAAAGTGAATCATGACCCTGTCGGGGTCTTGAGGATCCTCATGATCACCCAACTTTAAAAAATCCTTGTTCTCAGGGTTAGAATTACAGCCACTATTTGTGCAATTGAGTTTGTCCTTTTACCTCCTCCTCTGAGGCTGTGCATAACTTCTCAGAACAGGCAGTGTCTTTTCTATGTTACAGATCTGTTGTGGCTTATACAGTTTTTTTCAATTAGATTGGTTCAATTAAAAAAGAGAACAGTTCATAAAGAAAATCCACCCATCCCCTCCCACATCTCTGGGGGTTTGGAAGAAACAAATCTGAGAGCGAACCATAAAATACTCAAAGGGTTAATGACTCTTCTCCTAAAATCTTGGAAATGGAAGGAAGTGTCCATAATCCCAACAGCTGATATAGTATTCTCACACATTCAGTAAAATTAATATAAAGCAAAGTCTTAAGGGTTTCTGTTTTCTGATGTCAATGCTATAAGTCTAGTTTCTTGTAACACTAGGTCTTGCAATTTCATTATTTGCTAACGTACACATTTGCTAGCACACACATCCCATGCAGTCCTGACTCCTACACTTGTCTTAGCTCAGCAGCAGCTTGAGCATAATGTACAGAACTTGTTATGGCAGTTAGACTAGTTGGCAGGCTGGTTTTGGCTGAGGTTTATAGAACAGTGTAAGCAGCCAGCAAAGAAAAGATTCTTGAATGAATACCACAATTCACGTATTATATGGAAGTGTTGACATGATCAGACTGGTTGGGTCAGTACCCAGTGCAGATGAGCAGCAATGGCTTCAATATGTTGTTGTTTATCATCACCAGAAGAAGATTTTGCAGAACAAATTATGCATCAGTTACACCTTTCCAGTCACATTTTTTAGCAATTATGCCTCAATTATACCTGGGTTTGCATAGCCTTCACACCCAGGCTTGTACACATCATTAACGGCAGAATTGGACCCATGAGATCTTTTATTGGTCGTGTGCAAGTACTGGTTGAACCTCTCTCGTCCAGCACCCTTGGGACCAGACCAGTGCCGAACCAGAGAATTTGTCAAATCATGGAAGGTCAATATTGCCTAGCAGCTTTACCAACACTTCTACTGTTTACAGGTTCTTAGAAGACATTGAGGGTGTGTCTAGACTACATGGCTCCGTTGTACAGCTTGAAACGAGGCTTAAAGGATCTGCTGACAAAGGGTTTTGGGGTTGGCAGATCCCTGTCTAGACTGCAGCGCTGTGCCGACAAACAGCTGATCGGCACAGCTCGGTGGCCATTTTGATTTAAATGAAGCGGTGATTATTTAAATCGCCACTTCATTTCCCTTTGTCGTCCTGCCTCATCTACATGGCTCTGTTGATGGAGCCATGTAGTCTAGATGTACCCTTAGAGATAAATTAGAGCTAAATAATAGGAGAGAACACTGAAAGCTAGGACTGGTGGCTGTAAACAAACATGGGACCACGGGAAACTTGTCCATACCCATAATAAATGGATATCCGGCTAACTAAAATCATGCTGGATCATGGACATTGCTGGACCAGAGAGTGCTGAACTAGAGAGGTTCAGCCTGTAGCAAAGAAAGCAAATTAATTTTCATATCCCTGTACACTATAAAGTAATCACAGGAAGGGGGATTTTTTACTCATAAATTCAGGAAATTTGATCCTTATTCACTGAGACACAAACATGGAGTCCCACTATGCCAATTTTACAGTCACCTTTTAAGATATAGCTGGACTTAGCATTGAAAAAGTTTTAATTGGGGAATGATACTTCTCTGCCTCTCATGTCATTCCTTTTTCATGGCCACAATCCTTTTGCTCCTAAAGATCCTATTGCTGCCACCTGTGAATCAGCCAGAGCAATTGGTGCTGAATAATGCAAAGATGGCCCTTCCTACCTTTCAGGAGTAGGTACATGTTTCACCCCCAGACTCCTAGCCTCTTCCAGCCTGACATAAGAACTTTCAGTCTAGCCCAGATCTTCTAGTATTGCCAGCCCAAAGAACTCAAAACCCACCAGTCAAGTTCTCAGCAATCAATTTAACTTAAACAAACCTGAAATTTTTTAAAATAAATTTAATTCTTTTTATTTGCCCCTTTTTCTGAGCTTTTAGGATGAAATATCTGAGCTTTCTGCTACAACCAGAATGGTTAGAAACATTTTGTTTTCAATCCAATAACATAATTCCAGGAGCTGGGGCTGTATAGAAAACACTAAACCTCATGTTATTTTCAATAATATCATGAGCATTTACATTTCTGCACTGGTCTTCACATTTTAATCTTAATGAAAAAATAGTGGGTTTATCATCACTCTGAGAGCCAGTGGTTGTGAGTTCTTATTCTGGTGCTGGTTTTCTGTGTGGCATTTGACATGCCATTAAATCTGTCTGCCTCCATTTCATAATATGATAAAAATGATATTTGCCTCCCTCACATGAGCTTTGGGAAGATTAATTAGTATAACTGCTTGAGAATTTTTAATCAAAACTTGAATTTTTTGCAAAATATTAACTTCTCTCTTTTATAAACTGGTCAGAAAAGACAAACCCTTTTGAAGACTATTTTCATCATTTTTGACTGCTTTTACTATTTAGTTAATGATTTTATAGCACTCTAAAGAAGAAAAAACCTAACTGGGACTAAGTATTAATATTTCAAAGGTTGAGCAGACGCTTATATAAGAATCAGAACTGCTATAACCGAGAACCGTGAATTTTCAACAAAAGCCATATAGCAAATATATCAACATATGTGCTATTACCATTAGCACTAAGGGCAACAAACCTGGGGCCAAAGTTTGAGCAATATTATTGAAGCAAAACTTATTTGAGTTGTAACCAAGATATCTCAAAATGATGTTTGCTGCTTTTTTTTTTGGCAACATTATTACTTTATGGACTCACATTTAGTTTGTGAGCCACAATAAATCACAGATATTTGTCTGCAATACCCTTTCCTAGGCAGTCATTTCCTACTTTGTGTTGATGTAGTTGATTATTCCTTCATAAGTGTAATACTTTGCAGTTCATCCTATTCATTTGAGGCTGTCTCCAGTTTAAGATAATTTTGAATTCTAATCTTGTCCTGCAAAGTGTTTGAAACCCCTACCAGCTTGGTATCATCCACATACTTTATATGTGTACTCCTGATGCCATTATTCAAATAACGTATGAAGATATTGTATAGAACACAGACTCAGGACAAATCCCTGTAGGACTCCGCTTAACATGTCCTTCCAGCTTGACAGTGAACCATTGATAAATATTGTCTGAGTACAATCTTGCAACCAGTTATACACCCACCTTACAGAAGGTTTGACTAAGCCTGGTTGTTTATGAGAAGGTTATATGAGACAGTATCCAAAGCTGTACTGAAGTCGAGATATATCAAATCTATTGCTTCTCCCTCATTCCCGGGGCTTGAAACCCAGTCTAGGAAGGATATTAGGTTGTTTGACATGATTTATTCTTGACAAATCCATGTTGACTGTTACTTATCACCTTATAATTAAAAGAATAATTAATTCAGATGAACAATGTATAACATTGCCATTGGGAGAATAGGTGTCTCTATGACCATTCTGTGAGATAACTGTCCTCGTTTACAAATGAAATTACTTTGCTCCTGAAAAATCTATGTGGTAAGCTCATCCTTTGTTCAGCACCATCTTTGTTCTATGACGCTCATGAGTGGAACAGCTGAGATCTCAAAAGTCACAAAGGAGCTGAAGAGCTGGCTAGAGATGCTTGTGCAGCACCTGCTCTCAGTATCCTTCCTTTGATGAGTACTCCCTTCACTACAGCCTTGTCTTAATTGAGACTAAGCACTTCCATTTTACCATGAGCTAAACCACTTCCAGGGGTTGATCTTGGTGAGCTTACCTCACAGTAAAATGAAAGTACCTGGTCTTCACTGTGCTTTAACCTTGGGCTAGGCCACCAGTGTTAGTTATTTGGAGGTAAAAAATGCACCTTTTGTAGCAAATGAAGGCGAGGGCTATGAGTCAAAGACAAACCAGTCTAATATGCTAATTTATCATGGGTAGGAAAATTAGCAGCCCCACACAGTGGAGACAAGTGATGTGCTTTTTGTAGTGTAGACTAATCTATCAGCTGAAAGGCAGTCCATGTACCAAACTAAACTGTTTAGTCTGGCCCATTACTAAGCATGAACTTCAGCATTGGCAGTAAAGGAAGAAAAATCTCCATCTTTTACTAATCTCTGCATGTGATCTGTTGGCAAGAAACTAGTTCTGCATATTTAACTTTCTTCACATTTTCCAGAATAAGGGACGCATCATCACAGCCCAGAAGAGAATACCTGCCAAAACCCCGCATGAGTTTGGAGTTTTCCAGTGGTGAAAATACCCAGTACAATGGAGGGATATCCCAAACCGGCACCCCTAAACCAACAGGTAAAAGGAATGAGGAAGGAGAATGTAGTCTTGTCTAGTTTTGAACCTTTTGCTATGATGTAAAAACAAGAAGCTCATTTTTTCAAATTAGCTTTCCTACAACCAGCGTATAACCAGCCACAGTGAAGGAAAGAGGTGGAAAGGTATGAGGCAGAAAAGGGAAGTTCTATTGAAACTAAAATCTGAATTGCACTGAAAGAATTAGTTCAATTGCCAACTCTGGCACTGTTCTGTTTATAAGGGCTAAAATACTATGCATTGGGTGTAGTACAAGCACCTAATATAGGGTGATGATTCATTTTATCAAATCTGTGGCTTAGTGGCCATTGATTCCATCATTTATAGCATCTTAAAGGGATGATGTCACTTCAAATTTGCCTTGAAATTTAGATTTTATAAAAATGGATACTTAGAAAACCTAGAGATCAGTTGAAAGATTTCCATGAAAATGTAATAACCTACTCCCAACAAAGCACTGCTATGTAGTCTTTGAAACTCAGATATTGTAGCTGATCCTGAAAGTGAAAATGACTATGAACAAAAGTAAAACCAATGGAACTGATGTTCATTGTTCATATGAGAGAAATGCAAATATAACAAAGTGCATAAACAATGACATATATCTTTTTAATATGAATTGTCTTTCTTTTAAAAGTACACGTTAAATCACTTTGCTCATTGCAGAAATGCTTTATCATCACACATCATTTTAATAAGGGGTATTCTTTCTCCCTGGATCTAATCTTGCACGATCCTGATTGACACTACAGGTGGGACCTCCCTAGTCTGGTTCTGCATCGTTGGGACCTGAGCCTTTCCGAAAGAGGGAATTTGCCAGATTGGGGAAGTTCCTTGCCACTGGCCTGCCAGGACACTGTCCCTTCTTGCGGCTGGCTCCAGCCTGCAGAGCTTGGACTTGGGCTCTGGCCCACTGGACCTCCCCAGCTGCCATGGCCCCTCTTCTCTCCTGCCCAGCTAGGAATCCCCAGGGATAGGGCTTGCTGGCTGCCCCACTTCTGCCACTGGCTGCCTCGCCTGGCTGGTCCCACTGCTGCCCTGTCTGGTTGGGGCTCCCTGGGAATCCGGCTCCCAGCTGGTTTGCACTTCCAGGTGCTGGGGCATTTTGGTCCGGCAACATCTGCAGTCCTACTGGATCACAGATATCGCCAGACCAGAGAGTCCTGGATTTAGGAGGTTCAACATTTAGTGAGAATTCAAGTACACACCACTTACAAGACTGGATGTTTTCTCCCCCTAGCTCTGTAATCAGGAATTACTTCCTCTCTGTCAGATCCTGAAATGCATGTTTGCCATCCTCAATGTGGATGCACAACACCACCTCCATTTTGTATTCTGCAATAGCAGCTAGAAGCTGATTTGCATAGCCCTGTAATTTCAAACACCCCTGCTCACCCCTGCAGTGTTAGAGGGGATGCAGCCTGTGACCTACTAATGTTCTCCCAGTCACTACACCAGCTGTTTTTCTTCACTTTTTTGTGTATGCTGGGACTAGGACTGCAATACAAAACAGAAATAAATATAAAATGTGTTAAACGCAGATGATGCTTTATCGTCTATAAACCCTATTTTCCTCTGGCATTTCACCAAGACATGTTGCAAAGAGTAGGCTGCGAAGGTTCCTTGGTTAGAGCCCCGTAATGTGAAGTGCTTTCTTGCAAAATCCTGTTTGGCACCATCTGGAAAGTCTAATATTTTAAAAGTCCTAAATTAAGAGGCTCTTCAGAACAGCTTACCACAGAAATGTATAGGAGAGAATTGACAAAGAATCTCCAGGACTCAGGCCTTGTCTACGTTTAAAAGTTTTGCCAAGATAGCTGTACAGATGAATGTATACTACCATCCCTCCTAGTGCAGATACAGTTTTACAAGCAAAAAAGTGCCCTTGGTTGTATTGTTAATGCTGGTTCTCTCAGTGCCATGAGGCAATGTCTACACTAGAAGTGCTAGTGTACCAATAAAGTGTTCCTAATGTGGATATATCTACCCTGGCAAAGCCGTAATTTATACTTGTAAACTCCCCCCACCTCATGCCCTGAGTGAAACAAACAATTAAAAGTGAAGTTTTACATAACTGTTTACACTAGGACGTCTGCTGCAGTCACTATGTTGATTTGGGATCACACCTCTTCACACTCCTGACCATCATAGCTGTGCTGCCAGGAATCATGGTCTGAGATAGCTCAAGAAGAGTGCTTGTATGTCACTATAACTGTATCTACATTAGGGCTTTTGATTTGTCATCAGAGGTGAAAATAAGCTGGTGTTCCCCGGAGTGCCACTCTGTCAAGAAGCAGCCACAGGGCTGGGGCACTGAGCTGCAGGAGGATGCCCGGTGTGCTCCCAGCCCCGCTCCTGGGGCTCTGCTGCAGGCTGCCGCACAAACCCTGACTCCTGCACCTCCTCTCATACCCACCCCTATCCTCAGCCCCTCCACCCACCCCCAATGCTGACTCCTGAACCCCCTGATACCTCAACACCCTGCCCTGAGCTCCTCCTCTCACCCCAACCCTGAGTCTTACACCCCTGCATGGCCTCGTCTCCTGAGTCCCTACCTCCCAAGTCCCTGCACTGAGTCTCCCCCAGCCACACCACAACCTCCTGCCCTAAGTTGTGAGTACACAGTACCTGTAAGAAATGTGTTACTTTCACCAACCCTCACTTTTTGTCATGGAAAAAAATATTACATCCTACACTGACAGAGCTATGTTGGCAACACTTCAGCAAAGACCTGGGCTTACCTTGTTGCTTTCAAGGTTCTAGAACATCTAGTTAACAAAGCTTCAGATTTGGGAATCAATAAACCGATCTCTGCTTTGAGGTCATTGTATCAGTTCTAGTTTTGGGAGCTGTAAATATAATGGGAATTTAGCAGAAATGGCAATGCATGCTAATGATAATAACCAGGAGAGCTCTAGTTACCAAGACTTCTAAGCACTATTTCCTTGTGTTCTTTTTAGGTGTTCCAATGGATCAGCCATGCTGCCGTGCTCTGTATGATTTTGACCCTGAAAATGAAGGGGAATTGGGCTTTAAAGAGGGTGATATCATTACCCTCACTAACCAGATTGATGAAAACTGGTATGAAGGGATGCTTCATGGCCAGTCAGGCTTCTTCCCTATTAATTATGTGGATATTCTGGTACCTTTGCCCCATTAGGATGGCTGACTCTCCACCTCTTGACCCAGACAGATATATTGATACCACTGCTTTCAAAATGCTGCTTACTACACCTCACAAGAGCAAACTGCAGTGGTTAAAGTCATCGAGTCCCACTGAGCATCTTTGGTTTACATGTTGTCATGCGGCATAGTGGTGATGTGTGGTATCTTCTGAGGCAGCGCAATGTGGAATTTGGATTTGTACACTATGGTGTGCCAGCTCGCAGTAACCAGAACCATTGTCTGTATGGTATTGGGAAAACAATGGCAAGCAAAAGTGATGACTCACAGTGAAGTAGAGGAAAGCAAGTGTGTTAATGAGAAGATAATGCCTATCACCACTGTATTATTTTTAAATCTTAGTTCTTGATAAATGGGATCACACCTCTTCACACTCCTGACCATCATAGCTGTGCTGCCAGGAATCATGGTCTGAGATAGCTCAAGAAGAGTGCTTGTATGTCACTATAACTGTATCTACATTAGGGCTTTTGATTTGTCATCAGAGGTGAAAATAAGCTGGTGTTCCCCGGAGTGCCACTCTGTCAAGAAGCAGCCACAGGGCTGGGGCACTGAGCTGCAGGAGGATGCCCGGTGTGCTCCCAGCCCCGCTCCTGGGGCTCTGCTGCAGGCTGCCGCACAAACCCTGACTCCTGCACCTCCTCTCATACCCACCCCTATCCTCAGCCCCTCCACCCACCCCCAATGCTGACTCCTGAACCCCCTGATACCTCAACACCCTGCCCTGAGCTCCTCCTCTCACCCCAACCCTGAGTCTTACACCCCTGCATGGCCTCGTCTCCTGAGTCCCTACCTCCCAAGTCCCTGCACTGAGTCTCCCCCAGCCACACCACAACCTCCTGCCCTAAGTTGTGAGTACACAGTACCTGTAAGAAATGTGTTACTTTCACCAACCCTCACTTTTTGTCATGGAAAAAAATATTACATCCTACACTGACAGAGCTATGTTGGCAACACTTCAGCAAAGACCTGGGCTTACCTTGTTGCTTTCAAGGTTCTAGAACATCTAGTTAACAAAGCTTCAGATTTGGGAATCAATAAACCGATCTCTGCTTTGAGGTCATTGTATCAGTTCTAGTTTTGGGAGCTGTAAATATAATGGGAATTTAGCAGAAATGGCAATGCATGCTAATGATAATAACCAGGAGAGCTCTAGTTACCAAGACTTCTAAGCACTATTTCCTTGTGTTCTTTTTAGGTGTTCCAATGGATCAGCCATGCTGCCGTGCTCTGTATGATTTTGACCCTGAAAATGAAGGGGAATTGGGCTTTAAAGAGGGTGATATCATTACCCTCACTAACCAGATTGATGAAAACTGGTATGAAGGGATGCTTCATGGCCAGTCAGGCTTCTTCCCTATTAATTATGTGGATATTCTGGTACCTTTGCCCCATTAGGATGGCTGACTCTCCACCTCTTGACCCAGACAGATATATTGATACCACTGCTTTCAAAATGCTGCTTACTACACCTCACAAGAGCAAACTGCAGTGGTTAAAGTCATCGAGTCCCACTGAGCATCTTTGGTTTACATGTTGTCATGCGGCATAGTGGTGATGTGTGGTATCTTCTGAGGCAGCGCAATGTGGAATTTGGATTTGTACACTATGGTGTGCCAGCTCGCAGTAACCAGAACCATTGTCTGTATGGTATTGGGAAAACAATGGCAAGCAAAAGTGATGACTCACAGTGAAGTAGAGGAAAGCAAGTTTGTTAATGAGAAGATAATGCCTATCACCACTGTATTATTTTTAAATCTTAGTTCTTGATAAAAAGAGGGAAAAGTTCTTGCTATTCCATCTTTCCCTTCACAAGGATACGGTCCACGCAGGTCCAATATTGACTCACCAGCATTGTCTCTTCTGATCAAAATGATTTCGAATCGGAGAGCCAGTATAATGTTGACCCTAATGTTTCTCTCAAAGTGAACTACCCTTGTACAGTACGTACTGCCTAACCGCAACTGGTTTTATATTCTGGGTCGTTAATAATAACAGGCCTGCTCAATTTTCAGGTAAATTGCAATCTACAAGAAAAGGCCAGTAATAAAGAGCTTGGTTATAAGCCAGATGTGTCTGCTCTTTAGAAACTTTGAACAAAATAAAAAAATGCCAGCAAGAGGGCAGGGTGGGGAATAAATCTAATCTAAATGTTATGTATTTCATGTAATGTTTTGGCACAAAAATCACACCACTCAAGCACTGGGAGCCCTCAGTACACTCATACACTAGGAGAAAAAAGCAACAGTCCTTTTTATTTGTGTCTAGTTTGTGTTCTTTGAACATCATTTGTGCATATTCTGCCCTCAATGAGGACTAAATAAAATTGATTTTTGTGCTGAGCAATTAAAGACTTGTGGCCGTATATGCAAAAACATTTCCCATAAGTTTAGTTGTTTCTTTAATTTTCCCCACCCTTCCTGCATTTTGTGTGGATAGTGCTGTGCCTAGCTTATCAGCATCCTTTTTGTAAGAGTCGTAAAAGTTCTATTAGTTTAGTTATCCAGAGTTCTATTTATCTAAATTGTACAGACTCTTTCAGAGGATGAATGTGCTGCTTTGGATGTGCCACTTCAGTACTGGATCACATGAAACGGAGGCAATCCTACTGCTTACTGTATAAACTATATTGTGGAAAGTATTGATATTTCAAATAAATAATGCTGACAGAATAACTAGTATGATGCTGTGGATTATTATCTCTTTGTATAAAATAAAAAATTATGCTAAGTGCCAGTTCATCCAGGGTCTTATTTCAGAAGGCATATGTTTAAAAGTGAGCAGCAATTCTGAAGCATAAAATTTCCTTTATATTAGTATTATCAAACCCAACACTGCTTCTATTGAAGCCAATGGGAGCATGGTCAGAGACATAACAGATTATACCAATCTGCTCAAGGTAGTTAAGTCCAAAGCACAAGAACTAGGGGGTTACCAAGTAAAATTAATAGGCAGCAGATTTAAAACAAATAAAAGGAGATATTTCTTCACACAACATAGTAAACCTATGGAACTCCTTTGCCAGAATATGTTGAAGATCAGGATTTTAACAGGGTTAAAAAGAGCCAGATAAATTCATGGAGGAGAGGTCCATCAATAACATTGATTAGGACAAGCAGAAATGGTTCCCCTAAGCCTGTTTGTTCGAGGCTGGAAATGGGCAACAGGGAATGGATCACTTGATGTTTACCTGTTCTGTCCATTCCCTCTGGGGCACCTGTCATTGGCCACTGTCAGAAGACAGGATACTGGGCTAGATGGACCTTTGGTCTGACCGAGTATGGCTGTTCTTATGTAGCAACTGAAGTAAACAGGGAAAGATAAGCATTCAGCATATTTATTGAATAGCATATTTTGTGTGATGCATCGGTCTGCAAGCTTCTGGTGACACAATACTTATCATTAAAGAGCACTGAGGATTGCAACTTACCTACTCAGCCTTAAAGACAAGGTGAGTTCTGATTTATTCTTTTTATTTCAATATTGTGTTTCAAAAATCTTGTTTTAGTAGTCTTTATTATTATTTAGTTGCTTGCTGTGTATGTATCTCTTTGCACACTAACAAGAATCTTACAGGTTCAATCCTTCTCTCGGATGCAGCTCATTAATTTCCTAGAAATAGCCTACAAGTAAATAAGGGCAAAATTAGTCTCTAAATATGTTCCCAGTAATAACTGTACCCTCTGTATTTCAGGGTGATCCATCATCTTTGCTTTCTGATCAGCTGCCCATAAATAGTATAATGCAGATAAATTTGATATCACATTAGTATAGCTCATCTTGGGAGTTACATTTATGATGTACATTTTTCAATTAAATAAAAACAAACACACATCATAGGAATCCCTCACCCCACTTCCTATATCCACCACCTCTCCACTCAAAAAAAGAAAAAAAAAAGGCTCTGCAAAAAATGATTCAAAACTCTTTATCTTACATCTCTGCTAAATGGACAATCTGCTGTTTAACTGGGCAGATCCTTCATTGGTGTAAATGTTCATAGTTCTGCGTAAGTCAAAGCTATGGCAATTTACATCATCTAAGGACCTGCCCCCAATGGTTGGCAGGGTCAGTCCCAAAGACATTTCTAAATCCAACTAGTTGTAGAGCCAAAAACAGCTCCCTAGTGCACCAAAAAGCCCATGAGAGTTGCGTACACATCTGGACTTTTGCTTCTAAATATGGACCCTCCATCTAAGTATATTTCATAAAGGAATGAAAATTGGTTTGGATATACACATCCTCAGCTCATCTCTTCCTAAAACCTGGGATGACTTATAAAGTAAAATATTACTGAAAATGAGGAAGGGTGGGAATCCTCTTTTGTCATAGGTATAGGAAGTAGGACAGTGTGTGGGGGGTGGGTTTGCAGGACTCTAGGTTTTGGGCATCCCAGCCACATGCCCCTGGTGCCAGGCCTGCTGTTCTTCAGGGTTCTACTTCCAGCCCAGAAGCTCTGTTTCCAGCCCTGGGACCTGCTTGGCTGCCATCTCCATGCACAGGGACTCTGAGTCCTGCTTGGTGGCCATGCCTACACAAATGGTCTCGGCAGCTGGGCCTGGTGTCCCACTTGGCTGCTGGTCCTGCCATCAAGCCTGCATGCAGGGTCCCACCCAGCCACTGGGCCTGGGATCCTGGCCACTGGCACCATACGTGGGGTCCCCACTGCCGGCCCCAGCTGTGAAGAGCACAGACAGAGGTAAGGGGAGGGGGTGCAGTTCACCAACCCCACTCTAAAAATTGTTCCTGCACCACTGCCTTTTGTTTAACTCTTGAGGACTGGATTATAAGAATGCTTGATTTTTCAAATTATTTTTCACCAAGCACTCAGCAATCAATCAATATGTAATGTATATTATTTGCATGCGAAAGCAGAAGGAGATTAAATTGCCCATAACAAAGTGAAACCTTTCTAATGCTTTGTTTCATTTACGATAGAGCACGATAAGAGTCTCTAATGCAGAAGGATCATGACGATGGTGCAGTGAGACTGCAGATGTGCAATTTAACAAAGTGTATCTTAGCTAATAAGGGAACATGCATAGATAGCAGGGTATGAGTAATGCAAATGCCGAATTCTCTAACCTAAAACAAAGCCAGACGCTGATACCCTTATTCAAGATGCGTGCTATCTTAGGCTATGTCTAGACTGCAAGCCTCTTTCGAAAGAGAGCGTCTAGACTGCACGTGGAACTTTCGAAAAAGCAAGCCGCTTTTTCGAAAGAAAGCACCCAGTGAGTCTGGATACTCTCTTTCGAAGAAGCCCTATTTACATTCAAGAACGCCTTCTTTCGAAAGAGCACTTTCGAAAGAAGGCGTTCTTCCTTGTGAAATGAGGTTTACCACCGTCGAAAGAAAAGCCGCGTTCTTTCGATTTAATTTTGAAAGAACGCGGCTGCAGTCTAGACGCAGGTGAAGTTTTTTCGAAAAAAGGCTACTTTTTTCGAAAAAACCCCTGAGTCTGGACACAGCCTTGGACCACAAGTCATTACATTTGAAGTCTGCTGCTACCCAATGTTGGGATCTTACCCTGTGAAATTGTCTATTATTTGTGCTCCAATGGTAGGGCAATAGCCTTAGAGACTTTGCATCTGATTTAAACAAAAGGATAACTAGCACTAAGCACTGCCAGCTACTGTAGGCCTGCACTCTGCTATCCTTATTCACACAGAGGCCAGATCTACTCTATGGGGAGGGTGGGGAGGTCAGTTTAAGATACTCAACTCCAACTATGTAAATAACATAGCTGGAGTCGACATACTTTAAGCTGAACTTGGTGCTGTCTCCACAGTGGGAGGTTGACAAGAGAAACACTGATGAGGGAGCTTTCAGCATTTGATTTAATGTGTCTCTACTAGACCCAGTAAATTGAACCCTGGAAGATCAATGATAGCATCGATCCTCTGGTAAGTGGAGATGTGGCCTAAAAAGTACCTAATTTCATGAGTAAAGTTGGCAAAATAAAGCCCTTTATTAATAGTCTTAGGCAGATTTCAGAGCTCTAGGCTTCAATGGCTATAATAGGACAATCAATGGGACACAGGACAGAACAGATCATGCTGGTGGGGGAGTGCCAATGCTCAAACCACTGAGCTATCCCTCCCCCCTAAAAAAAAATTGTTTTTACTGAGCTATCCCTCCCCCCTAAAAAAAAATTTTTTTTAAAGTGAAAGTCAAATCCTAGTGAGGAAAATAGAACAGACCATAAACTTTGTCAAATTAAGTGTAAATATAATAAGAAAAGCCAAAAAGGAGCCTGAAGAACAGCTAGTCAAAAACTCAAAAAGTAATAGTAAAATGTTTTTAAATACACCAGAAGCAGGAAGCCGACTAAACAACCCATGAGGCCCTTGGACGACTGAGATGTTAAAGAAACACTCAAAGATAATAAAGAGAAGCTAAATGAATTCTTTGCTTCAGTCTCCACAGCTGAGGATATTGGGGAGATTCCCAAGCATGAGCCATTCTTTTTAGCTGACAAATCTGAGGAATTGAGGTGTCCTTAGAGGAGGTTTTGGAACAAATTGATAAACTTAACAGTAGCAAGTCACTGGGACCAGATGGCATTCACCCAAGAGTCTTGAAAGAACTCAAATGGGAAATTGCAGAACTATTAACTGTGGTTTATAATCTATCTTTTAAATTGGCTTCCATACCTTTTTAATAATTTTTTTTTAATATTTAATTATGGAGATTGCCTATCTCCTAGAACTGGAAGGGACCTTGAAAGGTCATTGAGTCCAGTCCCCTTCCTTCACAGCAAGACCAAGTACCGCCCCTGATGAATTTTTGCCCCAAATCCCTAAATGGGCTCCACGAGGATTGAACTCACAACTCTGGATTTAGCAAGCCAGCTCAAACCACTGAGTTATCCCTTCCTCCCTCCCTAATGTTTGAAAGATTGCTAACGTGACACCAATATTTAAAAAGGGCTCTAGAGGTGATTCTGGCAGTACCAAGCAAATTAGTTGAAACTATAGTAAAGAATAAAATTGCCAGACACATGGATGAATATAATTTGTTGGGGGAAAGTCAACATGGTTTCTGTAAAGGGTAATCATGCCTTACTACTTTGCTAGAGTTCTTTGAGGGAGTCAACAAAAATGTGGACGGGGGGATCTAGTGGATAATAGTATACTTAGATCTTCAGAACGCCTTTGACAAGGTCCCTCACCAAAAGCTCTTAAGTAAAGTAAGTTGTCATGGGATAAAAGGGAAGATCCTTTCTTGGACTGATAACTAGTTAAAAGTAAGGAAACAAAGGGTAGGAATAAATGGTAAGTTTTCTGAGTGGAGCGAGGTAACTAGTGGGGTTCCCCCAAGGGTCTGTCCTGGGACCCATCCTATTCAATTTATCTATTTAAATAATCTAGAGAAAGGGATAAAAAGTAAGGTGGCAAAATTTGCAGATGATACCAAACTGCTCAAGATAGTTAAGACCAAAGCAGATTGTAAACAGCTTCAAAAAGATCTCACCAAACTAAGTGGTTGGGCAACAAAATAGCAAAAGAAATTTAATGTTGATAAATGTAAAGTAATGCATATTGGAAAACATAATCCCAATTATATATACAATATGATGGGGACTAATTTGTCTACAACTACTAAAGAAAGAGATCTTGGAGTCATTGTGGATAGTTCTATGAAAACATCCACTAGGTGCGCAGTGGCAGTCAAAAAAGCAATTAGAATGTTAGGAGTCGTTAAAATGGGGATAGAGAATAAGACAGAAAATATCTTATTGCTTCTATAAAACCATGGTATGCCCACATCTTGAATACTGTGTACAGATGTGGTCGCCTCATCTCAAAAAAGATATATTGGCATTGGAACAGGTTCAGAAAAGGGCAACACAAATGATTAGGGGTTTGGAATGGGTCCATATGAAGAGAGATTAAAAAGACTTGGACTTTTCACCTTAAAAAAGAGGAGACTGAGGAAGGATATGATAGAGGTCTATAAAATCATGGTTGGTATGAAAAAAGTGAACAAGGAAAAGTTATTTACTTATTCCCACAATATAAGAACTAAGGGTCACCAAATGAAATGAACAGGCAGCAGGTTTAAAACAAACAAAAGGAAGTTTTTCATCACTCAGTACACAGTGGAACTCCTTTCCAGAAGATGCAGTAAAGGCTAGAACTTTAACAGTGTTCAAAATAGAGATGGATAAATTCATGGAGGTTAGGTCCATCAATGGCTATTAGCCAGGATGGGTAGGAATGGTGTCTCTAGCCTCTGTTTCTCTGGAGGTGGGTGACAGGGGAGGGTTCACATGAGGAGAACCTCTTATGATCCCTCTCTGTGGGGCATCTGGTATTGACCACTGTCAGCAGACAGGAGACTGGGCTAGATGGACCTTTGGTCTGACCCAGTATGGCCGTTCTTATGTAGGTCATAAATAGATACAAAGTCTTTATCTTTTCTGGATGGAATAAGAGATCATTTTTCTTCCATAGACTCTTGGGCAGAATAAGAGACATTTAAATAATAAAAAGCACTTACTCCCTTTCTATGATTGCTTCAGGTACTTCAAAACTGTATGTGGGACCATATGGCTGTCAGCTTCCAGAAGTATGTCGTGTCTTTTTTGCTGCAGAATGGCTTCTTCAGTGAATGGTAGACTTTGACTTCCATTGTGACCTTTCTTAGTAGGGTACCTGCAGCCTTCAGGAACATTCATAATATCTAATGGTTAGACCTGGCACTAGAAGTTTCAGTTAATGCATTGCTACAAAGAGGTAAATAGAAAATCCTGTGAAATATTAGCAGCAGAATGTATCAAAATATCCTTACATATTAAGTCCCCCAAACTGGTGTGAGGACCTCTGGATCACTACCAAACTGTGGGGGATACAATTTAAAATAATGAACACATATGAAAAGGACAAATCACATTTCAGAAAAGGATAAAATTAAAAAAAAATGAACACATATTTGTCCTTTTCATATGTGTTCTTTTTTTTAATTGTATCCTTTGGTATATATGGTCGTGACTATTTTCTTCCACTATTTGATTCGAGGAAGTGGGTCTGGCCCACGAAAGCTCATCACCTAATAAAACATCTTGTTAGTCTTTAAAGTGCTACATAGTCCTGTATTCTGTTTCCTTTAGTGATTGCAGCGGTGGGTGCCTGCCTCCATGATTGGCAGCTACTTGCTTGTAAATGGGGAATTTTCCACCCCCCTCTATGTTCAGTAGGGGATTTATAGATTCCATTACATAGCGTTACAAGCAAAAACCAAAACATGCTCTCTAGGGTCTAAAACTCTGTTAGCAAGTTACAATCTTTGCCTAAGCAGTTTTCTTATTTACAACAAATTACAAGCATAGCCAAATCTTGAGCCCAGAGGCTTATAATGAGAGGATGCTGCCCTCTTTGGCTATGTCTACACTACCCCCCTAGTTCGAACTAGGGGGGATAATGTAGTCATACGGAGTTGCAAATGAAGCCCGGGATTTGAATTTCCCGGACTTCATTTGCATAAAGCCGGCCGGCGCCATTTTTAAATGCCGGCTAAGTCGGACCCCGTGCCGCGCGGCTACACGCGGCACGGACTAGCTAGTTTGGATTAGGCTTGGCATTCAGAGAGAGGCCGGCTAGGTCGGACCCCGTGCCGCGCGCTACATGCGGCACGGACTAGCTAGTTCAGATTAGGCTTCCTATCCGAACTAGCTGTACGTCTCATGGAACGAGGTGTACAGCTAGTTCGGATTAGGAAGCCTAATCCGAACTAGCTAGTCCATGCTGCGTGTAGCTGCGTGGCACGGGGTCCGACTTAGCCGGCATTTAAAAATGGCACCGGCCGGCTTTATGCAAATGAAGCCCGGGAAATTCAAATCCCGGGCTTCATTTGCAACTCCGTATGACTACATTACCCCCCCTAGTTTGAACTAGGGGGGTAGTGTAGACATACCCTTTGTTCTGTAAGTGATGGATAACTAAAGGGTTCTCTCCATTTTAAACAGTTCAGTAAATCTTTGAATCATACTTTTGGAAAAGTAAAACCAAACAAAGTTTCTCTACACTGCTGTGCAGAGGTCATGATTTCTTCCCCCTCTTCTGATCAATTCTTTTATGGGCTTGAGCACTAGAATTATATAGTACAGCATCTTGCTCAGCTATATAATCATATTTACTACACATCTTTATATCTTGGTGCTATTTTTAAACCTGGAGTATCTGGTTGAAATAGCCAATTTCCCAAGTGATCTATATTTAAGTTTAATGGACTGACACACCAGCTAGCAAATAACAGCAAGCGAGGCAGAATGAAATAATCCTACAATTATGTATGCTATGGTAGCTGTAAAAAGGGTGAGGGCGCTTTAGAAATACATTAGACAGTCCACAGAGTCTACTGAAAGTACCAGTGAATTTCAGCATGAAAGTTATTCTTGTATCTGACATATGACTAGTTTGTGAATAACTTGTAAAATCATCTGTGATTAGTGGCATTTCAAGCTGTTAGTACTTGTTTGTACAGGTGGGTAGGGCAGTTTCTCCAGAAGCCAGACTAGGATGGAATGGCTGCCAGTAGCTTGGCTGTTGGTGCAAGAATTTAGGCCAGGGGTGGGCAAGAGGGGGCTAACAGGCCGACTCCAGCCCATGGCCTCCTCACCAGCACCCTTACTACTACCCTTTGAAAACAAGACTGCTAATTGCTATGTAGTCTGGGTGGGGAGGAGAAAGCTCTGCATGCTGTCCCTACCACCTAGCAAAATCTCCCAGCTCCCATTGGCCAGTTTCTGGCCAATAGGAGCTGGGAAATTTTGCTGAAGGCAGGGGCAGTGAATGAAACCTCCTCACCCCTTCCCCCTCCCCCTCCCTGTGCTGGAGCAGAACCAGGTGGAGCAGCTGCTGCCCAGCACACAGGCAAAGGGGTCAGGTACCTGCAGAGTTGCTAGCTGGGAGCTGCCTAAGTAAGTATCTTGCAGCCAGAGCCTGCCTCTGGCACCCCACCCCTTTTCTTCCCCCACCTACCTGCCCCAGGCCAACACCCAAATCCTCTGTATCCCCTCTCCTCACCTCCTCCAAGTCACAACTCCCTCCCAGACTCTGCACCCTCACTTACTCCCTCCTCCCCCAGGCTAGAATCCTTGCCTGCACACATACCCCTCCTTGACCCTGCCCCTCACTACCACCTAAACCCTCTGCACCCCTTCCCCTCCCAGACTCTGCACGCCCTCTTACAGCACTCCTCCAGGCCAGAATCCTCTCCTGTTCCCTTCACCCCAAACCCCTGCCCCAGATCATAACTCCCTCTTTCATCCAAACGTCCTCTCAGACCTCACACAGCCTGATGCACTTCAGCCCTCTATCCCAAGCTCCCTTCTACATCCCACCCACCATCCAAGACCCCAAACTCCTCCGCAGAAATGTGGCCCTTGACTACTTACCAAAATCTGAATTGGTCCCCCATTAAAAATTATTTCCTACCCCTGGGGTAGATGATACTGAAATAAATGGGAGAAGTCCTACCAACAGAGACATAGCCAAGGGGTGCTGCTTTGTACAGAGGATGGGGCCTGATCTGGTAAACACCTAGGCTGCGTCTAGACTGGCAAGTTTTTCCACAAAAGCAGCTGCTTTTGTGGAAAAACTTGCCAGTCTAGACGCAGCCTAGGTGTTTACCAGATCAGGCCCCATCCTCTGTACAAAGCAGCACCCCTTGGCTATGTCTCTGTTGGTAGGACTTCTCCCATTTATTTCAGTATCATCTACCCCAGGGGTAGGAAATAGCTCAGATTTGTTTTGCGCAAAAAAGCCCCGATCTCGAAAATGGCGATCGGGGCTTTTTTGCGCAAAAGCACATCTAGATTGGCACAGTGCTTTTGTGGAAAAGCGTCTGTGCCAATCTAGACGCTTTGTTCCGAAAATGCTTTTAACGGAAAACTTCTCCATTAAAAGCATTTGTGGAAAATCATGCCAGTCTAGACGTAGCCCTACAGAGCACATGGGGCTCAGCCAGAGGCCTGAGTCAGTGAAAACCACTTGAGAACTTAACTGCTAACAGGGGACCCAGCAAGCAGAGCTGAGAGAGTGCAAGTGCGATCATGCTGGATAGGACAGACTCACAGGAAGTGAGTGACTCCGCACTCACAAGGGGCCTTACCAGGCATGTTTGGAAACCATGTAGAATTTTTCACCCTTCCAGTTTTGCTGGGAGTCTCCAAGAATCAGGCTTACTCTCTGGAGGTGACTGAAGCCAATCTGGGAGACTTTTAACCATCAAAAGTCAGGCAGCTCAGCAGGGCTGAGGTGGGCTCTCTGCCTAGCCTGGCCCCATGCTACTCCTGGAAGCAGCCAGCATGTCCCGGCTGTGGGGAACTGTCACCAGCTGAGCTCTGGTGCCACAGCTCTGATTGGCCAGGGGAGCTGTGAGGATAGCTCCCTGCGCATGGGAGCAGCCTCACGCTTCTAGGGCCTTGAGGATGTGCTGGCTGCTTCTGGGAGCTGCACAAAGGCAGGGCAGGCAGGGAGTCTGCCTTAGCCCTGCTGCACTGCTGACTGGGAGCCACGTGAGGTCAATGCTGCTTGTCCAGAGGCTACACACCTCACACCCTTGCACACCCCAACCTTCTGCTCCAGCCCTGAGCCCCCTCCCGGAGCCATCACCCCCTCCCCAAACCCTTGACTCAGCCCTGAGCTCTGCACCTAAACTGCCTCCCTTGCTGCACATTAAACCCCTGTCCTAGGCTCAGACCAGCACCTCCCTACACACTCTAAACCTTCCAGCCCCAGCCTAGAGCCTGCACTCCAGTTCTTGCTCCATCCTGGTGAAAGTGAGTGAGGATGGGGGAGAGTGAAAGGAGGGAAAAGGGGGCATGGAATGAGTGGAGATGAGGCCTCAGGGTTAGGCTGGATTGGGGCAAGGAGGTTGGCATTTGTGTGATTAGTAGCATGTAAATATTCCAAGAGATGCCTTTGAAATCAGTGGAATCCTGAAGTATGTAACAGTACATCTACAGTACATTCTTATTTCAAAATAAGCTATGCCAGGAGAAATACTCTGAAATAGCTTATTTCGAAATAGCAGCAGTAGAGCGTCCACACTACAGCTATTTCTAAATAAGCTATTTTGGAATAGGCATTATTCCTCTTGGAATGAGCTTTACAGAAGTCAGAATAAGCTGTCCGTTATTGCAAAATAAATTTGAAATAACAGAATTGCTGCTGTGTAGATGCTCCCATTGTTATTTTGTAGTAATGGCCGTTATTCTGAAATAACACTGCTGTTGGGCTGTGTCCAGACTCAGGGGGTTTTTCGAAAAAAGTAGCCTTTTTTCGAAAAAACCTCACCTGCGTCTAGACTGCAGCTGCGTTCTTTCGAAATTAAATCGAAAGAACGCGGCTTTTCTTTCGATGGCGGTAAACCTCATTTCACGAGGAAGAACGCCTTCTCTCGAAAGTTCCTCTTTCGAAAGAAGGCGTTCTTCAATGTAAATAGGGCTTCCTCGAAAGAGAGCATCCAGACTCACTGGATGCTTTTTTTCGAAAAAGCAAGCCGCTTTTTCCAAAGTTCAACGTGCAGTCTAGACGCTCTCTTTCGAAAGAGGCTTGCAGTCTAGACATAGCCTTAGTGAGTAAGGCTGGCAGAGTCCTTTATACATGAAAAATACAGTGCGATGCAAGATCTTTAAAGTCCATGCAAGCTGTATCTGT